TTTTTTTTTTACATTTTATTTAAAATTTAAAAATAATTAATATTTTTAATAAAATGTAAAAAAATTAATTATTGAGATATAGCTATAGACCTAACGTATAACTATTATTTAAAAAAAAAATCAGCTAAAAATATTAACTGGATCAAAAGTTATTTAAGTTGTCAGTGAGTGGTGGGCCACTCTGTATATATATATATATAGTCATCAATGACTTCTGTATACAAAATAGTAGAATAACTAGAGAAATTTGGTTAAAAACACTTATATTTAGCACGCTAAAACAGATAAACGGTTGATCAGAAAAAAAAAGTTATAAGAACAAAATTGTTTGTACATTTTTTTTTTCTATCACATTATTTATTTATTATTAATTATACAGGGAATAGCCAAAAAAATACAATATGTATTAGACAGTTAACTGGACAACTTAAAATTATCTAATAATTCATTATGCACTAGTGAACCAGTCCAGTGGTCAGTACCCGGTTTGTAAGTCAGCTGAACACACACAATACATCTCTAATATCTATGTAACTTCCTAAATGAACCAGTTCCAAGCACCACCACGAGCCACTACAAAACAACGTGAATGCTTTCTCTTCAAAGGACTACCAAAGTGCATTAGGTCAAAATTAAACTGTTTGTGTAAAATTAACATGCATATTAATCATAGGAATAATTCAAACAATTATTGTTGAATCGTTTCTTACAGTGTAACTACATTATAAAGCACTTGGATAAATAATTTACTCTAAAAATACGATCAATATACCACGCAACAGAGGAGATAGGCGCGTTACGAAAAAGTATATGCGATATGTCTTTTAACACACGTATGGAAGTACACTTGTCTGAAATGGTTAGAGTACTGCCCGCATTACGCGAGAAATCCGGTCTCTCTCTAAAACGATTGTGAGCCGCGACACGATCAACGAGACCATACGGAATACGATCACCACCGCACTGATAACGTGAGAAAATAGTTTAATTTTATTTTAAAATTTGATTTTTACTAAGTGTGACAAAGTGTGGCACGATGTCTTTCAAACTAAAATGTTTTCTTTCCCCATATTTTTACCTATTATTTAATCATACATAGAAAATAGACAAGTCGTCATGACAATTAATTTTTTTAATTTATTGTATGTAACATAAGTTTTTAACTAACACTATTATCAATTAGACGCATTTTCAAATTTCTATTTGTTTGAAAATTATGCATTGAAATTTATACTCAATTTTAAATTATATTTTTTATATTTTTAAACTGATAATTTTCTGATATTCTCATACCTCCATTTGTATTGCTATTTTTTATTGGTATATCATATAACGCAGTGGGATCTTAATAGTTTATGCTTTTTTTACGTTGTTATTGAAAAATTAAATTAACGTAGTTAAAAACTTTTATTTAAAAATAAAGAAAAGCATTCAATACCTACTTTGTATTGATGTTTTAGTAAATAAAAATACTTAACATTTTTTATAAATAAACTTTTAATAAATACTTATTTATATACAATAATAATTAATATTATTAATATCCTGATAAAATAAAGTATGTCAAATGAAAAAGGGAATATTAAAAAATATTATTTCTCATAAAAAAATTATGTTGATCCATACATTTTTCAAAAAGTTATAGAATAATAAAGTTAAAAATGTAAAATACAAAATCGAAAATTTTCACACAAAAATAGCATTCGGTAGCCATTTTCATTATGAAGATAAAACAAAGTCCGAAATTTTTTTTTTTTCATAATAAAATACATTACATTAACTTTAATTTAAGATATATATAAAAGTGTCAGACTTTCCGGAACATTTTCAAAATTTAAGTTGAAAAAGTTATTTTTTTTTGAAAAAGTTGCCATTTTAAATCCCCCCCTGTGGGCAGAAAAAAAATTTACAAAAAAAAATATACCAAATGATAGGTAATGATATCGTACATCTATATAAAAAAGAATTATATTGATATGTTTATTTTTAAAAAAGTTACGGCAGTTTTGAGTAAAAAAAATTGAAAAAATTTCGAAAATAAGCGATTTTTAAATTTGTAATTTTTTTGGAGGTTACCCCCATTTACGGGGAACGAGTGAAATTTTTTCAATTTTGAAGGGTAATGTCTTTGACTAGATACGATTTGTGATCTTTTGACGTATCATTGCAAGAAATCGGTTCGGTGAGAGCTGAGAAAAAGTGGTAACAGACACAAAAAATAAATAAATAAATAAACACATCTTAGTAAAACCAATACTTTCTCAGCTTCGCATCGAAGCTAAAATACCAATAATAATTAATATTGTTGAAATTGGATTTTTTAGAATTGTAATAACTTAGCTAAGTTATTACAATGGAAATTACTTAATTAGGTAAATCTCATTAATTGTACCTACATCATTACATAGAGAATAATAAACTGTATTAAATTATACCAAAATGTAAAAATCAGTTTTTTTAATAACTACCCAAATTATATTAATAATACTATATTATTCAAGTGTAAACTTTCCTATTAAATAGTATAATATGTAAATTTCGATGTTTTTATTGAAACGCCTCG